ATGACGCTGATGATAATGATGATAATGATGGTGACGATGCTGATGTTGATGATGGTGATTATGCATGGTGATGAAAGTGATGATGCTGAAGATGATGATGCTGATGATGATGACGACGCTGGTGGTGATGATGATGATGGTGATGTTGTTGCTGCTGATGATGGTGATGATGATGATGCGGCTGCTAAGCATGATGGTGGTGATCATAATCATGGTGATGATGATAATGATGAAGCTGCTGATCATGAAAATAAGAATGATGATGATGATGCTGCTGATCATCATGGTGGTGGTGGTGGTGATGGTGATGGTGGTGGTGATGGTGATGGTGATGGTGATGGTGATGGTGATGGTGATGGTGATGGTGATGGTGATGGTGATGGTGGTGATGGTGATGGTGATGGTGATGGTGATGGTGATGGTGATGATGGTGATGATGGTGATGGTGGTGATGGTGATGGTGATGGTGATGGTGATGGTGATGGTGATGATGGTGATGGTGATGGTGATGGTGATGGTGATGGTGATGGTGATGGTGATGGTGATGGTGATGGTGATGGTGATGGTGATGGTGATGGGAGGGAGGGGGGCAGCGGGGGAAAGGGAGAACGCGGGGTGCTGTCTCTTCGAGACGAAGGCCCAACACCACAGGATGGTTGGGAACATTATCCTGACCCAAGACCCGACCATATGCAGTTGTGACTACCGCGTTGTGGCCATCGCTATCGGTGAAGCTCTCGATGGGGCCACGACACGTGCGAGGGGTGTGCCGAATTGGGTGGAGGATCGTATGCGAACTGCGCCACGGAGGCACTCGGTTGAGCTCGCCATGGGGGCACGAAACGTGTGAGGGGTGTGCCGACATGGGTGGGGAACGGCATGCGAACTGCGCGCACTCGGTGGAGCTCCCTATGGGGCCACAAAACGTGTGAAAGGTTTGCCGAAATGGGTGGGGAACCGCATGCGAACTGCGCCATGAAAGCGTGTCGAGACGGGCGTGACACCCACATGCGAACTGCGCCACGGGGGCACGCGGAGGAGCTCCTTTATGGGGCCACGAGACGTGTGAGGAGTCTGCCGCAACCAGCGTGACGCCCACTTGCGAACTGCGCCACAGTGGCACTCAGTGCAGCTCCCTATGGTGCAACGAAACGTGTGAGGAGTGTGCCGAACTGGGCGCGACGCCCGCATGCGAACGGCGCCACAGAGGCACTCGGTTGAGCCTCCTGTGGGGCCACGAAACGTGTGAGGGGTGTGCCGAAACGGGCGTGACGCCCACATGCGAACTGCGCCACGGAGGCACTCGGTGGAGCTCCCTATGGGGGTGTGCCGAAACGGGCGCGACGCCCACATGCGAACTGCGTCACGGAGGCCTTCGGTGGAAATCCCTGTGGGGCCACGAAACGTGTGAGAGGCTTGCCGAAACGGGAGCGACGCCCGCATGCGAACTGCGCCACGGAGGCCTTTAGATGTAACCCCCTTTATGGGGCCACGAAACGTGTGAGGGGGGTGCCGAAACGGGCATGACGCCCACATGCAAACTGCGCCACAGTGGCATTCGGTGGAATTCCCTGTGGGGCCACGAAATGTGTGAGGGGTGTGCCAACATGGGAGGGAGGGAGGAGGAGGAGGAAGAGGAGGAGGAGGAGGATGAGGAGGAGGACCAGTGTAAACCCAAGAGTCATAAACGATGTTGGAATTAACCCTCCAAGCTCCCTCTTCATCAGCCCCTACAACGGTTCATTTCCATTGAGGGAACTGCCTCGTTGGAAGACCACCGTTTGAAGGTCCTGAATCATGCCAAAACATTGTTCTCGGGATTCCAACGCCATGGATTAACCTGGCAGCTGCGTCTTGACGATCCGGAATCGTGCCAGAACGCAATTTTGGGGACTTCACCACAGCGAATCAACATCACTGTTGCACCCGCATAATCTTGAATCCTTCCAAAATGCCATTTCTTAAACGTTGATCATGGGATTCCGTGAAACTTTGGGGCCAGGGCGAGAGCCACGTTTTGAAAAGGAACCGCCCTCAATTCGTGAAACTCTTGCAAATGCTTAAAACAAATGTGCGCGGCGCTAAGGCGAGAGCCACATTTTGAAAACGGCCGGCCCCCAATCCGTGAAACTCTTGCAAGTGTTTCAAAACGAGCGTGCGCGGCGCTAAGACGAGAGTCACAGTTTGAAAACAACCCGCCCTCAGTCCGTGAGACTCTCGCACATGTTTCAAAACGAGTGTGCGGGGCGCAAAGGCGAGAGCCACATTTTAAAAACGACCCGCCCTCAATCCGTGATACTCTGGCAAATTCTTCTAACGAATGTGCGCGGCGCTAAGGCGAGAAACACATTTTCAAAACGACCTGGCCTGCATCTGCGAAAGTGTTGCCACTTTTTAAGCTTCAGAATCATAAATGGTGAGGAGGTCTCAATCGGAATGCCCGGCCCGCCCTAAAAACTGGCCTCGGGGTGCGACAGGGAGAAATGATGTATAATGGGGGAGGAGGAGGCTGAGGAAGAGAAGGGACGCTGGGCGCTGTCTCTTGGGATAAGGGAATGGTTGGTAACTAGAATGGTTGGAGAATGAGGATGGCGGAAGAAGGACAAAAGATGAAGTGAGAAAGAAGGGTCATGATGGGAGGGAGGAAGCAAAAGGAAGCAAGAAGCAGAAGAAAGGCGGGACAGTGAACAAGAAAGGATGGTGGGAGGGAACATTCGCCGGCCCAACGGGCCAGAGGCGTGCTAAGATCTCCAGTAACTGCTAAATAATACTTCTACTTCGCGCGCGCGGAGCGGCCCCTGGGGGTCCCCGGACGAAAAGTACCCCGGGCGATCCCCGGCAGACTCGGGTCAGAGATGGTTTTCCTCCTCGGCGCCGCCCCCGTGGCCCTCCAGAGAGCCCAAAGAAGGGCCACGAGGCCGCCAAGAGCCCTCAAAGATGGTTCAAGAGTGCTCCGAGATGCCACACGATCGTTCCAAGACGCCCAAGATGGCCCCCAGACGCCCCAAGAGGCCTCCAAGAGCACTCCCCAGAGGGCCCCAAGAGGCAAAATTCATTACTTTTCCTTGGGTTTTGGGCAGATTTTGGCGTGTCCATCTTTTCGGCTTCCCGAAGCCCCAAGACGGCCCAAGAGGCCCCCAAGATCGCCCCAAGAGGGCCCAAGAAGCTCCCAAGAAGGCCCCAAGATGGCCCAAGAGGGCTCCAAGACGGCCCCAGAGGCATCAAAGACGGCCCAAGAGGGGCCCAACAGGGCCCAAGCGATGCCCCAAAGGGGGAACACAAAACAAAACTTCGAGCCCTCGGCCTTAAGAAGCCCCCAGGAGGCCTCAAGAGGCCCCTGAGAGGCCCCAAAAGCCCCCAAGAGGCCCTCAGGAGGCCCCCAAGCGACGCTGAAGAGGCCCCCCAGCGGCCCCAAGAGGCTCAGTCATGCGAAATGGGCCGGCGGAATGAGCGAAGCGATTCAATAACAAAAGGAATGGGCACGGGGATGGAAGGGACGCGGAAGAAAAAATGAAGAACGGTGACAGACGGAGACGAACGGAGATAGGAATGGTAATGATCCAGACGAAGAATCCAACCACGTGCAGTTGTGAATACCGCGCTGTGACCATCGCTTTCGGTGGAGCTCCCTATGGGGCCACGAAACGTGTGAGCAGTGTGCCGAAATTGGCGTGACGCCCACATGCGAACTGCGCCACGGAGGCACTCGGTGGAGCCCCCTTTATGGGGTCACAAAGCGTGTGAATTGGTGTGCCGAAACGGGTGTGGTGCCCACATGCGAACTGCGCCACAGAAGCACTCAGTGGAGCTCCCTATGGGGCCACGAAACGTGTGAGGGGGTGCCGAAACGGAATGACGCCCACATGCGAACTGCGCCACGGAGGCACTCGGTGGAGCCCCCTTTATGGGGTCACAAAGCGTGTGAATTGGTGTGCCGAAACGGGTGTGGTGCCCACATGCGAACTGCGCCACAGAAGCACTCAGTGGAGCTCCCTATGGGGCCACGAAACGTGTGAGGGGGTGCCGAAACGGAATGACGCCCACATGCGAACTGCGCCACGGAGGCACTCGGTGGAGCTCCCTGTGGGGCCACGAAACGTGTGAGGGGGGTGCCGAAACGGGAGCGACGCCCACATGCGAACTGCGCCACAGAGGCACTCGATGGAACTCCCTGTAGGGCCACGAAACGTGTGAGAAGCGTGCCGAAACGGGGTTGACGCACACGTGCGAACTGCGCCATGGATTCACTCGGTGGAGCCCCCTTTTATGGGGCCACGAAACGTGTGAGGCGTGTACCGAAACGGGCGCGACGCCCACATGCGAGCTGCGCCACGAAGGCCTTCGGTGGAGCCCCCTTATTGGGCCACGAAACGTGTGAGGGGTGTGCCAAAACGAGCGCGACGTCCACATGCGAGCTGCGCCACGGAGGCCTTCGGTGGAAATCCCTGTGGGGCCACGAAACGTGTGAGAGGGGTGCCGAAACGGAAGCGACGCCCACTGCGAACTGCGCCACGGGTGCTGTAGATGAGGCCCACTATGGGGCCACGACACGTGTGAGGGGTGTACCTACATGGGAAGGAGGGAGGAGGGGAGGAGGAGGAGGAGGAGGAGGAGGAGGAGGAGGAGGAGGAGGAGGAGGAGGGACGTGGGCCACTGTCTTTTCAAAACGAGGACCCAACACCACAGGCTGGTTGGGAAAGACAGGGAGGCCTGGAGGAGGTCCAAGGAGGAACGAAGGACAGGCAAGGAGAAAACATAGAGAAGAAAAGAAAAGGATGCAGGCGGGAGCAGGAAGGCGGACAAAGGGAAGAGTGAGGGATGGAGGGAGAAGGACTGAGGGAGGAGGAGTTAAAGGCGGAAAGAAATAATAGGAAAGGAGAGGACCGCGACGACGACGAGGACGAAGAGGAGGACGAGGCAGGAGGACGGAGTGAGGAGGCGATGAGCGAGAGGAAAAAGAGGTACATGGGAATGACGGATGAGAATCGCTGGAAGGTGGCCTGCCACTTGCCTGGATTCTTCGGGTCATCCGTCAGCTGGGCCACGACCGTCCTCGGCACGCAACGATGCCAAAAAACGGCCCGCCTGGAGCGCCCCGCCTCATTGACCGGGCAGGAAGACGAGGAGGAGGAGGAGGAGGGCTTTGCTTGTGGAAAGGAAGGAATGAAGGGAAATACGTTCAAGAGGATGAGGAAAACAAAAATGTTAAGAGGAAAAAATGAACAGAGGAGAAAGAAGAGAAGATAACATTCACTCCTCACTCACACGCAGACACCTGTTTGGAAGGGTTGGGAGAGGGGCGTCGCGGACACTCGCGCAGAGAAGCGGCGGAGGCATTCGGAGAGCTGGAGTGGCGGCCGAACGCCGCCAGGGCCTCACCTGCAGCGCGGGAAGGGGTGATTGGCGCCGCGGAGCCTCAGACAAGTCTGCTGTCTGCGCTAAGTGACACACGTCGTTTCCCAGGCGCTCCTTTCCAACGACGGTGTGCGAAGGAGGAATGAGACAGGAGGGAGACCGAAGGAGGACTAGGAGGAGAAGGAGGAGGAGTCCGTAGCCATTGGCTCAAGCCGTTCTGGCTCAAGGTGGTTGGCGCAACCTGGGGCCCATTTTTTGACCTGCTGTCAGCAGGCGCGATCCTTCACGATTTCATTCCCTTCCAGTTCCTCCGTGCGATGTCCTGGCGCACTCCCTGGTCTGGACGGAGCTCCTCCCCCAAGGCGTACAGCTGGACCTGCAAGTGCTGTGTCGCCTCTGTCTCTTGGAACCTGTCTTGGTGCTGGCGCTGTGGCGAGCACTACTCTGGCAAGAAGACCTACGAGACGGACGGGGAGAAGCCCAAGACCAAGGGAGCCAAAGGACGCCGTCCGCGTGGAGGAGGTCAGCCTGACGGCGCCCAGCAAGGCGGTGGAGGCGGCAGCGGCGGGGCGTTGGCAGGCGCCGACAGCCCCCCTGGCCTCCCGCAGGCCCCCGGAGGCCCACCCCGCCCTGGCGGCGCAGGGGCCGAAGGGGGAGCTGGCCCAGCGCAGGCGGAAGGCGGCCCAGGCGCCGCCCTCACCCCGTCCATCACGGGCCAGCAGATCCAGATCTGCCAGCAGGCCTTGGACATCATGCGCAAGTTGGGATCAGTCGGTCAGCCAGCTCAGCAGGCCCTGGCAGGGTCCTTGCAGTCCATGCGCGAGGCGCGCGCGGCTACTAAGCCAATCAGCGCCCAGCTGCAGCAGGCTTCAGACAAGCGCATCAAGCATCAGAAGCAGCTCGAACGACACGAAGCACAACTTCGATTACACCAGCTCCGAGTGGTCAATGCCCGTCAACACCTCGAGCTGCAGGAAAAACTTGTTCAGCAAGAACAAGCAGCTATTGAGGAGACCCGCATCAAGATCGAGGAGGCAAAGAAGGCAGAGGCAGCCGCAGACTCATCAGCGGATGCCGAGCAGGTGCCAGGTTTTGCTCACAATCTTGATGATGCTCCTGCAGTTGACCTGTTGGCAGCGGTTGAGCGGAAGGTCAGCGCCATGGCCTACGACAACCAGACCGAGCTGGGCAGCATCTTCCAGAGACTCACTCTGCTACTCCAGCCTCAGCCCGAGGCGCCGAGCCGCGCTGCATCCTCGAGCCCAGCGAGCAAGGCAGCGCCAGGTACCCCACCTGGAGGCGGCCCTGCAGGAGACGGAGCTGCCGAGTCGGTGGCCAAGGCCGCCCCAGCGGCCAAGGCTCCTCCGCAGCGACGCCGTGCAGCGGGCGAGAGAGGTGGAGATGGTCCAGAGGCCCGCTCCAGATCGCCCACCAGCCGTGAGGCAGGAGCGGCCGAAGGGGCCGCTGAGCCCAAGGCGAAGGCGGCCCCACCGTCTCGAGGGTAGCAGTTTCACATGTATCACCATCAACACATCCTCGTGGAAGACGGCCAAACTTTTTCTAGCCAGCGTGCCGAGGTCCACAGAGGTTGTGTTTCTCCAGGAGCATAGGCTCCGAGCAGCTCAGATTCCAGAAGTTCAGAACACTCTTAGTCTCCAAGGGTGGGCCAGCTACTGGAATCCCTGTCTGGTCACCTCTGAGAATCGAAATTCGGGGGGGGTGGCCATCTTAGTTCGTAGGCATTTAGACTCTTGGCAATCTTCCGTCCCTAGTAGTATTCTGGCTCCTGGGAGGACAGTGCACGCATACCCGAGGACTCGGAGTTTTGGGATTGTCAGCTTATACAGTAACTATTGGGTGGATTCTATTGGGCCTGGGAGGGCCAACCTGGTTCTATCCAAGATTTTGGGGTCTCATATCTTGGGCTCTGGAGTTCCCTTCGTCGCGGGTGGTGATTTCAACATAAACCCTGAGACGCAACATGAGCACATGAGGCCCCACAAGTACCTAGGAGGGATTTACGCTCCTGCGTCCGCGACATGCATCATCGGGGACAACAGGACCGTCATAGATTATTTTATCGTTTGCCGTCAACTCGCCCTCAGCTTCGAGTGGATAGCAGTTGACGAGGATGCGATGATACCGCCGCACAAGCCAGTCACGATGTCCTTGAGCAGCGCCACCGAGGACATATTGGTTCAAAGGATTGTTAAATACCAAAAGGTGCCAGCTGAGGTCCCCACAGGCCCCTCGAAGCCCCCACCTGACTACGGTGATTTGGTTGACGAGATTCAGGCCCTGCTCGAGGATTTTCGCCATCCTTCAGGAAAAGGTTTTAGAGTGCCAGCAGGAGACGGCGAGAAGGCGATTCTGCAGGCAGCTCTGGATCGTATCTACCCCGCCTGGACTGACAGGACTTGGGGTGAACTCAAAGATAAGTTTCAAGTACCCACCGCCACCGGCTTGGAAGGAGGTCGGCCTCTGCAGTTTGAGACGGTCCGACTTTCAGAACTTCTCCTCACCTCCAGGAACCCTTTACCCAGTGAAAGCAGATGCATTGCGTGGTTGCTTCGCCGAGTCAAGGAGTTAAAAAGCCTCATATTGAGAGGACCTTCCAAGCAGTTTCAGGACCTTGCGAATCACACTCGCCAGCTCCCTTCGCGAGGAGGCCCGTTCAGGACCCTTTGGAGGAGTCATTGCGAGTTCTGGCACCTCTTCTGCGCGGAGCTCGGCACCCTTGCTCTCACTCCAGGCAAGCAGGACTTCTTCGTTCAGGCAGTCGAGTGCTGGGTGCCCATTCTTGGAGAATTGTTTGACAGTTATGTTAAGAAGGAGAGGAAGGAGGCGACGGTGAGGTGGGAAAATTGGTGCGAGGAGGCGCTTGCTGGAGGAGCTAAACGAGGACATAGCAGTACTAAGGTTTCAGGAGGAGGTGTTGAGGACACTGTCAAACATCCTGATGGAGCCCGCTCTTCTGCTTTTCGGCCTACGTTTTCAGGAGCAACATGATATTTGGAGTAAGGCCTGGGGGGCCCACGAGCCCCGAGTACAGCTGCTGGATCCCCTGGACACCAACTACTGGATTCCCCCAGGCCCCTCGAGAGACCAGTTACGAAAGATTTCGTCTAAGTTCAAGATGTTCACCACCGCAGTGGACGGGTACCACCCCAAGCACTTCTCCCAGCTCTCAGAAGGAGCCCTAGAGGTCATGGAAGGCATCGTTAACACCATGAACGTTCTAGGTAGCAGCCCGTCGATGCTGAAAGAGCTGGTCGTTGCACTATTCCGCAAGGCGACTGGAGGTCGAAGGCCCATCGGGTTTTTCAAGAGCTTCAGCCGCATATATTCTAGGAGCCTTGCTCACCACTGCCGTGAATGGGAACGTATCTCGGCTAAGTCGAAACACTTCAACATGGCCCCACATAGACATACTACGGATTCTGTCTGGAGGGCGGTGGTGAGAGGCGACATAGCAGATCACTCAGGGAAATTTGTTGCAACGCTTTTGGCAGATTTGAAGCAGTGCTACGAGCACATCGGCCATCACACAATGCTCAGCGAGGGCATGAGGTGTGATTTCCCTCTGTTCGCGCTGAAGGCGGCACTCGATTCTTACAGGTGGCCACGGAGGCTACTCATGGATAACGCAGTTGGTGAGCCGCTCCACCCCACCAGAGGGATCGTAGCGGGCTCTTCCACGGCCACTTTCGAGGTCAAAGGTTATATGATTCCGACGATCCGCGACACGACGATCAACGATGGCACGTCCCTCTCGATTCACATCGACAACTTGGCGTTCGACTCGATAGGATGCACTGTTGAATCATGCCTGAATGGCTTGGCGGATCTTGCAGCTAGGATATTCCATAAGTTTACTTATACCCTTGAGCTCCCCATCCATATGAAGAAGCTTAACTTCACGGCTAACAACTTCGAGGTCTTGAAGCAGGCTCCTGGGGCTCTTGGGGAGTACTCTGGGCTCATCAAGAATTCCATTACCAATCTGGGGGTTGACTATAACGTGGGGAAGATCAGGGCTGCCAAAGGATGCAGATCGAAAAAGATGTCCAGGTGGAAGGAGAACATGAAGCGCCTCCCCAAAATCTGTCGTCTTCGCGATCGCAAACAAGGCAAGCCAAAAAAGGTCAAAATCTACACCTGCGGAGTCAAGCCCTCAATATGCTATGGGGAAGAAGTTTCAGGACATTCACCTCAGGAAATAAAAAAGCTCAGAGTTCAGACTGCACGGCTACTCGGCATATGGTCGCCTGGCTGTGACGTCAATATTTGTTGGCTCATGAAGCCAGATTCCGACCCCATCTACCACGCCAGCGCGACCCTCAAGCGGTATTGCAGGGAGTGGTGGATGACCACAGACAGCCAGATAAAGGCGCCAGATGCTCTCAGCCCGAAGGAGCTTCGCCAGAGCTACGAGTTCTCCCAGAGGTTCTTCGATCAAGTTCCTCGGGGAAAGAGTTGGGCCTACAAGGTTAGGAGCCCTCTCACGGACTCCCTTTTCTGGACTGAGCAGGCGGGCTGGATTTTCAAAGGCCCTACTACGGTCAAGACCAGCAATGAGCTCGAGCTCAAGATCACGGAGTCCTCACCCGCTCTCATACAGAAGCTGTTCACGGCAGACCTCAGACAGAAGTTTTTGGAAAGTTCCGTCCACAAAAAAATATGTTATTCCGAGGTCC